ACAGCACCGGGACACGGCCCGCAGCGGCACCGGGACAGCACAGCACCGGGACACGGCCCGCAGCGGCACCGGGACACGGCCCGCAGCGGCACCGGGACAGCACAGCACCGGGACACGGCCCGCAGCGACACCACAGCACCGGGACACGGCCCACAGCGGCACCGGGACACGGCCCGCAGCGACAGCGGGACACGGGTAGCGCCGGCCGGCCCACGGGCTTTTTCCGCTCCACAGCCAGAGCCCTGAACGGCAGCGAGAGCCCCAGCCGAAACCGGGAATTGTGGGGTGCGCGGGGAGAAGGGGCCGCGGTCCCAGCCCAGCAGCAACAGGGCTGTGCTCTGGTCCACTCCAGGTTCAGGGATCCGTTGGCTGTGGCTGCACCGCGGGAAGGGATGGAGAAGGCAGGTTTGCAGTTTGGAGCGTCAAAATGAGGCCAAAGTATCAAAAATTAACTTTTTAGTAATGGTTTCCATATGAAAACAAAGTCCTTGTGTTGTGTGAGTCATTCACTGTCCATCCTCTGACACCTCAGAGATTCTGTCTATGGATTTCAGGAGATCAGCGACGAGCTGCAGGGATTCTGCTCCAGAGAGCAGCTGCCTGCAATGGGAGAGATGCAGTGTTAGCTGTGGGGATGGGCAGCCAGGCAGTTTTGGGAGTTTTCCCACATTCTGTGATTTATCAAGCAGCATTTCATCAGGACTGGAAACTCAGAGACTCCCACTTTCCACCTATTTTTACTACCTACACTTGGAGAAAAACAGGTAAGAACATGGAGTAGCTCCTCTGGCACACAACACAAACCCCTGGATTTCAATCCTGAAAAACCCACAGAGGATGTTTATTGTGAACACAGTGCCTGGGAGGGTGTCAGGAGGGTTTTCCCAGCCCAGCTCACCTGATGGATGCTTGGGAGCTGGTTGTGACCTGCAGCAGGTGCTGCAGAGCCACCTCCGCGTTCTGCTTGACTGCGGCCAATCCCTGGCCCGCCCGCAGCGCCTCGTTCTCCAGCCTGGAATTCCTCAGCTCAGCCTGGAAGGAAGGGGAACAATCCATGTGAAACAACCCCAGAACTCCAGCAGATACTCTACAGCTAATGGATGCGTTCACACAGCACTTTATGGGTGTGGAATGTAATAATTAACTAACACAGAGATAGTGAACACAATAAACCAATATGATAAATAGTGACTAGATCCCATAACCAGACTGCCTGGAGGGAGTGTCTTCCAGAACCACAGGATCATTAGGGCCTCTGGATGTATCCAGTCCAACCCCCTTGCCAAGGCAGTGTCACCTGGGGCAGGTGACACAGGAACATTTCCAGGTGGGTTTGGATTTCTCTGAAGAGGGAAACTCCATGCATTCCCTGGACAGTTTGCTCCAGGGCTCTGCCACCCTCCATGGAAAGAAGTTCTTCCTCAGTTTCTGGCCATTGCTCCTCATCCTGTAACTGGGCACCACTGAAGAGTCTGGCACCATCCAGGCCCTCCCAAGCCTTTACTAAACCTGAAAACACACCCAACATTTTCCTCAGAGCCTGCAAAACCTGTGCAATATCCTTTCCACTGCCTCAATTCTGAGATGTATCCCTGCAGCCCCAGCATTGCTGCTCTGTACCTGGAGCTGTGCATTTTCCTGTCTCAGTTTGGCAGCGCTGTTCTCAGCTTTGGCAGCCCGTTTCTGCAACAGAACAGAGATTACTGAAACCACAGCGTGCTGAGGATAAATCAGGCAGCTTGAGCTATGTGGGAATGAGTGATTCCAGTACAGAACTTGGAGGGATATGGTTTGTGTTACACCATGCCATGTTCTGAATGTTTCAGGAGGTAGGAACAGCTCCCTCCTTCCTCACTGCTCCTTTCTGGGATCTGCAGAACCTCCCCACCCTCTCAGGGGACATTTTCTTCCTGGTATTTGATCTAAACCTAAAGTCATCTCTTACAGTCATCAGCTGGAGATTCTGCTCCACATGCTGCACTATTGCTTCCAAATCCTGTGCTTCTTTTTCTTCTTTGATTTTGTTTTCCTCAAGCTTCTTCTCAAGCTCCCTCATTCTAAAATAAAATAAGAGATGGCACACAATAAGCATCTTCACCATGAAACACTTTAGGAAGGAAATTCTGGGGAAGGATCAAGAATCTCATGGTTTCATGTTATAAGGAAAATTAATTATTCTCACGCACTTGTCTGCTTGAGTTTCAGACAGAATCTGAAGCTTATTGATCTTGCTTCTTAAAATAGCATTCTCTTCTTTTAGCTAAAAAAAGAAATAAAAAATTTTTATTAGGATTGAGGTGCATTTTCACAACATTACTAACAATCCAAGATGAGTAACAGAATATTCAGCTTTAATACTGGAAATTCTTACACTTTCTAATACATTCAAGCTTAATTTTACCTTCAGTTTACCCATCTGGAAACCACTGTGGGGCACAGACACTGAACCACCAGTGCCAATGTGACTAATTAATATTAAATAAACATGACCTGAAGGGGCAGGAGCACGAGGAAGTCACCCGGCTCATGCGCAGGGCAGTAGGACAGAGAAAGTACCGGACCTGCTCATGCTGAAAAGCACATTTCCAGCCTTAATTCTGTTCCTCAGCAGCTCTCGGTGGCAGCAGGCTGCGAGGCCGAGCTGTGTCAGGGCCCAGGGCCCGGCTCGGAGCTGCTCTGCCTGAGGAAGGTGCCGGGAGGGCGGGCAGCGCTCACCTGCTCGTAGCTCGGCTGCCCGGGGGGGAGCGGGGCCGGCTCCGGGGGGGCTCCGAGCGGGGCCGCGCTCAGG